GGGAAAAGTGGAAATAAAAAAAAAATTGGGGGGGGGGGGCTGTTGTTGTTAGTGTGTGTATGAGGGAGGGGTTCATTTCTTTTCTTTTATAAACTGTTGAATTTCATTAATTTACAATGACTACATGTTAAATAAACTTATAAAATTAACTTACAAATATCCTTCAATCACTTGCAGCACTTTGCTCCATTTCGTTTCAAACTTTTTTCAGTTAAAACATATTTTTCAATGTTAATTTGGTTTCTGATTTTACTCATAAAATAAGCTATTGTTGAGCTATAACCAGTAAACCTGCTACAATACAAGACATATTTACCAATTAGTAACAACAAATTTAAAAGAGATTTGTTTTCCAGTACTCCGACGATAATACTTGAACATGTGATTAAATTTGTGTTATCATCAGAGATCTTTTTCCAGAACTCGTCAAACGAATTCCAAAATCTTTGTGCAGTTGAACAATACCAGAACAAATGTTCTAAATTTTCCCCATTTCGACAATATTTACACAAGCTATCTGTTGTTAAGTTATTTTTGTATAAGAATAAAATTGTTGTTACAATTCTGTGCAAAATTTCGAACTGAAAAACTCTCATTTTTTCTTCACCTGTTACCTTATAAGGTAACTCCCAAATTGCCTTCCATTTTCCTGCTGTGTCCTGCCCATAAATCATTGACCCATATTTAGGTTCTGAGCTTGGGGGTTCAAATTTACTTTTTATCAGTATTTTATAGAAATCTTTTGTTTTACCCTTTCCATAATCAATTGTATTTTGAACATTTTGTCCAGTTACATGCACATGGTCATTAGATTTCAAAATAACATCTTTAAACACTTTGTTCTCATGTGGTATTGTCGTCTCGAATGCAGTCTTTCCGGGCACAAAAACTTCCTGGGAAACATTATTGGAACAAATAAACAATCATTAATTAAACATGCTCTCTAGAAAATAACATTGCATACTAATTCTCACTCATTACTCGAATCTGCATATATGCACTACATCCTTTCTATTTCATTCATCTTTCACTTTTCTATCTAATTGTAGATAGATAATTTCATCACTTTTAAAACGGGAAGTGTGGTATTTTAAAACTATATTTATCTAACCAGAGTTCGTCTAGTATAGAAGACGAGGCTACTGAACCGGCAATAACCCATATTAACAAGAAAACAAAATAATTCCAAATATTAGCATTATTATCTTGCCCGCTCCTATCTTTTTTTCTTAAAATCCAAAAAAGTATAATGATACCAAAACCCACTAAGTACTGTTTATTATCATTATTGTTTCAACGCACATGTAGTATGAACACAAAAATATGACCCCACACCATTAACATGAATTGCACTGCATTTACCTGTTAAATTCTGCTTAACATTTCTATGATTTTATTTGGTTTGTGTCTCTTGGAAATGTCGGCAAAGAAGTTATGCAGTATGGAATTCTCTATAAATGCATGAACATAAGTTTAATCAGTTATCCAACACATAACGAAATGAATGGAAGCCGCTGCAAATAATGCAGTACACAACTGTCGACGCTGGCTTTATCAATTACACGTTTTGTAGCGGAGTAACAATATCATTATACCTTCAGGTTCCCCTCTTTCCTCAGAACATCTAAAATGCATCAGTCGGTCCATGTTGCTGTCGCGTCTTTAACGAACATGCCACCTGTCCACAGAATCCCAATAGTATGATATGTAATAGTGTTCATCGTGCATAGCCAGGTGTTTTACCTTGAAACACTGCATGTGTATTTGTTTTTGGAAGTGCTTCAAGATAAGTGTACCTAACACATTAACACTTTGCAAAAAAATTATAGTCTGGTGTTTTCGGTCGAAACATCGTTAGTGATTTTGCTGAAGTGTTTTAAATTGAACAGTTTTCGAGTAATATGTTTAAACCCCGTTTGAGAATGCTCAGATGTGTTTGGAACTACAACCACCGTTCATCAAATACAGGAGTATCAAAATTCATTAGTCCACGAGGTACTTAATCTATCACGTGTTTCGATTTCCGGTTTTACTAATAGGATGGTAAGACCATGTAAGTGTACATACAATTAATTCTTCCACAACCTGGTGCATACAATTATTTTCTGAAGGTAATTTCATGACCCTGCGTTGAATTACGTCAGCTTCAGTGATTGCTTAGTTGACATATATACAATCATGTTTACTTAGTAGTCCCAGACTTTTTCCTCAATTTTGTTAATACTGCTCGCATCAGGTTGGTTGCATTAATCTAAATATGCCCTATCAATAAACACATTTATGTTCCCGTAAAACACTTTTATGTCAAAAAAGTGTATTTTAGTGTGTTTACAATGTGCTTAATTTCTCAAATTTAATCAAATTCATCAAAAAGTGATTTAAATAACTGCCCAAAGCACTTTTTCAAAAATTCTAAAACATAACTGTTTTGATAGAAAATACAGGTGTTTTATAATATGTTTTTAATTGTAACAAGGTGCTTTCAATTACATGAAAATGCTCCCAAGATTCACAGTGAAGGAAGCTGAATGTTGAATTGTTATAAAGTATCTGCATTATAATATGGATGAACAAAGATAAATCTGCACCAGTCGTACAGAAATGTAAAGTATATGGACTATATTGGTGAATTGCAGAAGGTATAAAATGGTTTGCAGTAACAACCACCAAGATTTAGGCATTCGGATGTCTTTTGATGTTGTGAGATTAAAACAACTGAACACTTACTTTTCTCCTAAATATTTTGAGTAGTAAATATACAATTAACAATGTGTAATTATGTAAGGACTGTAGACAAAGTCTGCCGGTAATAATGTACAATTCTGAAACAAAGTAGGCAATCAGTTGTTATTTAAACGTCCA